AAATGAGAATAAGTGAAATTACACTGAAATCTACAAAATTTTACACAAACATAAGATGTGCGAAGACGCTACTAGGCAGTAACAGAGACTTAACTGACGTGCCTCCTGTCACATAGCTTATTTTTGAACAGAAATCTCAATGCTTTAACGCCAAAGAGCGACCTATGTGAAAGTTTTGTGGGCTTTGACATTAACAGAGGGTTCCTGTGGGCATGGCGCTGTCAGGCCAGGTCACAGGGCACTGCCCCCCCACCTCGTCACCTCCACTGCAGCGTCGGATTTGGGGAAAAGAGTCATGCGCATGTGTCTAAGTGGAATTCGGCACAGTGCGCCCGCTGTGCTGATGATAAGTCACGGAGGCAAGAGGAGACTGGCCCGGCTGCTGGTATCTCTGCAGATAGACGCACAGTCAGGGGCGGGGGCGGCGTGTGGAGGCCCCCAGTGAGGTCGGGGTGGCAGCAGCGTACCTCTACCTCGTTTCTGCTCCCTGAGTGCTCGGCGTGAGTGGCGGTATGTGTTCTGGTGTCGGGAACCATCTGGGGACTCCCAGCCCGATTTTCACACTTGGACACTGAAGCACTGTCAATATTTAGATTACGCTGTCGAGGGGCCTGGCCTCTTTATCACTGTTGGGCTTTTGAGGGAATGTTTACTGTGTTTACTACGTGGGTTTTAACAAATCTAAACCAACACTGTCTTCTGAACACTGTCTGTGTTGGGTGAGGTCAAGTTCACGGGCCAGCCCCTGAGATGAGGAGGGGACAGGAAGGGACAGGAGGGGACAGGAGGGGACAGGGAGGGGCAGGAGGGGATGAGAAGCAGTCTCTAATGCTGAGGGAGGACGCAGGGCAGGGCGGGGGAGACAGGACACCCCCTGGGTGATCATGAAAATAAAATGCATAATTCTTACAAACACCTGATTCTGCTTATGGCTGAAACGCTGTTTCCTTTTCTTTTCCATGGTTTGTGTTTAACGTGTACACAAACCACAACTGATCACGGAATCAGTCACTAACTTCCACAGCGAGAGGAAATGGCAGTGATCACCGACCAGGGGCTCAGGAGCCAAAACCGCGGGGGCGTCAGCGGCTTGTGAGCCCCGACCTGCTAAACGCAGCTGCTGCCCGGGAAGGGTTCAGGTCATGGGTCATCCGTGAGCCTCCAAGCGCCCTGATAAAAGGCGGAGGGCTGATGTCTGGCCCAGCCCGTGAGTGCGGGCCGTCGGCTCAGGTGCCGGGCTCTGGGCTCCCACGGCCGCCCTGTTCCCCGCACAGCCTCGCACGGTGCCCGCTCCCCAGGCTTTTGCCCTCACACCCACCCGCCCCATTTCCCTAGGACGAGTGTGTGACCTTCGGCAGGGCGGGGCTGTGGCGCTGTGCCTGGTCCTTCCTTAACCAACCTCCCCGGAGCCCGTCCACCCTGGGAGGCACGCTGAGGACGACAGACGGGGGCATCTGCCTCACCCCACTTCCTGTCTGGCACTCCCAACACAGTCACCGTGGTGTTGAATTGAACTCAGTAATAAAAACGTGGTTCACGTTTGTTAAATGTTAAGATCTGGCTGCAACTGAAAACCTTCCTTTTTCATCCGCGAGCTGGCGATACACACGACCGACACATGGGAGAAGGCAGGCCGGTGTTTGGCTTGTCACTGCGTGCGCCAGGCACCTCGTCGGCATTGTCACCGTCTCACAAGTGTCACAGTGAGCAGCTCTGTGTGTGACATCGGCAAAGCACCAAGAGGCCGCCTCATCTCACCCTGTCGGCAACCTTCCCACGGGACAAGTGACACTTGAGGCCCAAGAACCAGGCAGCCTTCCCATAGCTGCCCAGCTCGGCTGCTGGGGCCAGATGTGCCACCCACGTGACTGCTGCGGCTGTCACACGGCCACAGTCACACGAACAGCCCCCTTCCCAGTTTTCTCTGTATTTTGGAAGTTAGTGAAACTTATCAATAATGTACCTAAGTATAATATATAAAGCATGAGCCACTGTATTTATAAAACTAACCCATATCCTGCCCTCACCCTGCAAATATTCTTGCCTGCAAACGCACTTACGAAGTTTTAGTAAAAAAGTCCCTATTATGACTGACACACGCACGCGTGCGCGCACACACGTGTTCACAAACACGCTCCTGGTGGAGATAGCCGGAAGGCTCTGAGGAGGCTCTCAGGACCCCCACTGGCTGTGAGAGCTGCTTTAAAAGTAACGCTTGACATAGAAATCGCCCAGACTCTATTTCCTTACGGAATAAGTGGGTAACCAGCGGCCTGGTTTTTAAAAAAGAACTTGAAAATGGATGGCCGTAAACTCTAATGTTTTCGACCCAGAGAGCTGTCTACGTTGACGACAGCTGGCCCGTGGCCAGACAGTTCTGAGGGGAGAAGCACGCGAGGCAGTGAGGATGCATTTGTGAGAGACGCCGGCGCCTTACGTTTGCAGGTCTCCCAGCGGCCGCGGGCCCGTGGACGCAAGCAGCGGCTCTGGCCGCATGGCCACCGTGGGCGACGTTTTGGGGCTGGAGTCCGACTCCCCGCTGTCCTCGTCCCCCATGGCTTTGATGTAGCTCCCACTTCTCATTCTCCGGCAGGGGATTTCCTCGTCCTTGCCGCCGGTGGGGTACCCTCCCCACTCGTCCTGAGGCACCTAGGAAAGAGCAGACACGCCTGTCAGTTCTGTCACATACGGTCCTGTCACGGCGCTTCCTGGGGAACAAATTCTCTCGTCCTTGAAGACACAGCTCTTTATGGCCATTTATCATTTAAAGTTACGTGCATAGAACGATGCCTCCCACCGCTGTCGCTGAAATCCTGAAAGGATGTTAATATAAAATGATTGTATTCTTCCCATTATGAAAGTGATAATCGTTACGGGAAAAGTGAGACAATGTTGGGTAGCATGAGAGAAAAACCCACGTGTAATCTCAGCACCTAGAGAAAAGCCACCGTTAACAGATTTATTTCCTCTGGTGGCAAAGGAATGAAAACTTGAGAAAATTGGAAAAAAGAAAGTTACCCAGCATGCTGGTGGTGGTGGAAAGGGAGGGGAGAGGGGGAGAGGGCGCCATGGCTTCGGGAAGGCGTCGTTTCCTGAGCAAGGATTTCTGGGCGCTGGGGAGAAGGGACTACGGAAGCGAACTTCCTGGTTTAACTGCTCTGGTCCAGGTGTCTTCTCACCCAAAGGCAGTTTCCACGTTTGGAGAAAACCCCCAGGACGGGCCCAGATGTGGGAGACGGCACTTCCACGCCGTTTCACGCCTGGGGACACGGGTACGGTCTTGACAGCGCCGTGGCAGACCGTCCACGCCTTCTGACCCCAACGACACGGCTACCGAGGTGACCTCAGCAGGAGTCGGTGCCGGGGACCCTGCATGCTCACTAGGGTGACAGGGACACACAGTACGTGACAGGGGATGACGTGACCCGTTTGTTACAGCCCCCGGTGCCGTGGGTCCTGCCAGCCCCAGACGAGGGTGCACAAGACGCCCTGGTGCCGGGACAGGTGTCGTGCGCGGCGGCTGCACAGCGAGGAGGAACGCGGCCCAGTCCTTCACACTTTAAACGCAGCTCTGCCTGCGCCGCACAGAAACAGCCGGAAGGCCGTGGGGTCAGCACAGGAGACAGTGGTTTTGGGATCCTCAATTACTTTTCCTTATACTTAAATTTTCTAAATTTTATACATGGACCATATATTGCTACTGTAATAAAAAAATAAACTTATTTTAAGAAACATCGGTCCTTGATGACAATACATTTCAGTAGAGGTGACAGACAGAATAAAGTGAACTGCAGAGGGGGCAGCAGAGCCGCCCCAGCGGGTGATCTGGGAGGCTTCCTGGGGGTGCGGCCCCCAGCGAGGGCTTCGGCTCCCACGCCTGCGCTCAGGAGAGGGCGCCGGGCTGTGGGGTGCGTCCCAGAGACGAGGGAGGGAGGCTGGGACAGATGGCGGGGGGCCATATGCCATGAAAGAGACATTCCTGCTGGCAGCTTTAGGGATTTTTGTGAATTAAAAACATGTTTCTGTAAAAAACAGAGTGAAGATTTTCCCCCAGCAGCCTGTGAATTAACTAACACATGAGACCAGCTTGTATTTTTCTGCCTCTGACTTAAGAAACCAATTTTGCACTCTCTGAGGAAATTTCAGTCCAGAAGGGGTGCCGACCAGAGTCCAGTGCAGACGGAACAGACTCCAGAGCGTATGGCCAGGCGGCCACAGGAGCAGAGGGCGACGCGGAAAGGCTGCCGTGTGCAGGAGACGAGCCCTTTGGTGGCTGTGGGGTCCCCGGGGGCATGTCCAGCCTGCAGTCTGGCTGCGCGTCCTGCTGATTCACCTCACCGAGGACCTGCTTGCGCAGAGTGACGGCCGCAGCTCCAAAGCGCACAGAGCGTACACTTTGCAGGTCCTGCTCCTCACGCAGGGGCACCACCGCCACACTGCGCGTGGAAGCCCCTCCCTCCGTCCCTCCCCAGTAGTGGGCACGGGGCAAAGCGCCAGGGTTTTGTAATACTGTTCTTTCAGGTGTTGAAACCAAGGAACAAAAACACCACTAAATGCTGTGCTTCCTCAGGGAAATGTCTTCACTCATTCGGCGCATTCTGTTTAAAATGCACACGGCGACGCCCATCGCACGCCCGAGCGCGAGGCAGCTGGGCTTCTGGACTGCGGAGCTCTACAGGGAAGGGCCACGTGGCGCCGTCCTGGCTGCCTGGGCCCGGAGCTTGTCCCGTTCTGGGGGGGCAGCCTGCACGGGTGGGGGTGGGTGGAGGCCAGCCTGGGGACTGCGTCTGTCCTGTGTGACGTGGATTCTGCACATCCGTCCGCTTTCCGCCTATAATGAGCCGAACCTTGAACTAACTGCTTTCTATGTAAACCAAGGGTTTCTTCATGCTTTCAATGAATGATAAGATTTTCAGGAATGCAGCCGACCATGTACATCAAGGGAAGGGAGGGCTCTGCTTGATTTGGCACTTGACTGAGACTTGTCTCGATTTCCAAAAGTCCACTGGTGACTCACGAGCCATTCCGGCGCCCACCATCAGCCTAACTGGTAGCTCTCAGTGACGGGGCACGTCCCCCGGAAAAGCACCCCAGTACTTCTGTGCCTGCGTGTCACTGGGCCAGGCCGTTTCATATTCCAGCTCATGTTCTTAGAAATGCCATTCCTTTCATTTCTGGTGAGTTAGAGTTCAGGCACGTGACTTAAGGAAACAAACAAGCATATTCAAGACAGTGTGTGCAGGTCGGCTGCATGTGACTCCCACCAGGATAGGGGACCAGGACACACTGAGGTGTGTGTCAGCAGCAGGACGCTAGGATGGCACGATCCTGGGCCCCGCGTGACCAGGACAGCTGCGTAAGCAATTACAGGGACGTGCCACCTGGTGAGGCCTCCTGCAAATCTCACAGA